ATATAAACTATCTTTATTAAAATATTATACAAACTTAAACAACGAAAAGAACGCAACTTTTAATTCACTGTAACATTTGAGAAAGTAAGTACATCATTTATTAGCAAGTTACAGCGTAAAAGAACCGACGATGTGCCGATCACTTTTCCATGGTATCCCCTGCGTCAGAGAAGCGGAAGAGAATGGGTGTCGGGCCGGCGGAAGGAGACCATGGATCCATGGAGGTCGGGGAAGAGTGGGTAGGACCGTTACACGGCGCCTGAAGAGGAGGAGTGAACCTGATCGCAGGGTACGCTCCGATCTCGATGGATCCAGCACGAGGAAGACCGTGACAGGAGCAAGGTCACGGCCACTGTTACACTACCGCCTGTTAACGCCGTCACGTGGACCCTCGATCGGAACAGTCTTCCACGGTTGTTCACCTCATCGAGAAAACTGCGTGCATTCCAGAGAAATTTCATAGTCAAATAACGAAACTTTAAACAATCGTTATTTTTTATCACGTGTGTTCAAGTGTTTCGTTTTTTATGACAATTAAGTTAGACGTGAGTTATATTTTATTTAAAAAGTGTTGTTAGCTTTTAGAAAAATGTAACTCGACGAAAAGTGGTTTTTGCAAAATTAGTTCTTTAAAAAAGAAGAATGTTTAACATACATCTAAGTGGCACGATTAATAAACCGAGAGTAGACGTTCGAATCGAGTTCTGAAGCGGGAGAATTTTCTAGTGAAAGAAGAAAGTTTATCAGCTCCACGAATGCCTAGAAGAGTCGAGAATAATTTCTCGTTCACCTGGAAAACTCGATCAGAGTCAAGAGACGAACTGCTCGTTAAAGTAATAATAATTTAAAGAACAATTTCAAGCGGATGTGAATTTTCAACGATGTTACTCAACGTGTAATGAGTCACGGGAAATTATGCGGTTGTTAAATGAGACACTCGGTAATACTGATGAAGGACAACAGCGGCGAGACCGAAATCTAGTACGAGCTACTGTTATAATAAATTCCAAGTGGATGAATTTCTGCAGCAACAAAGTTTCTCGGAGTGGCTCGTTGTTCGACGTTTCCTTGGAAGTAGGTGAACTCTGCTTTCCTTTTCAAATAGATCTACTGCTTATCAGTCGCAAAAGTTTATGTTAAGTTGTTTGTATTAGGAAATTCAATACAGAATCAATTAAATTCTTAGGAGGTACAAAAAAGGGATGAGACGTGAAAAGGAATAAATAAATTGAATTATTAGCCGAATAAAAAGTCATCGTGCAATTATAATTAAGGATGTATAGGCTATATACTTAAATAATGCTTGCATGTTGAATTTATTATTATAGATTTTATTACTAAAAAATATATTATTATTAAAAAAACTATCTGTAAAATTTTAAAT